AATAGGCTGTTTCACTGTCCTTATTATTTCATAATAGGAAATTTACTCTAAATCTAAATGTGTGTTCTCAAAAGGTTTTCTTAAATAGATATCCAGTATGTGCAGCTTCATATTTTCTAGTAATAGTAGAAAGTAACTTTCAAGTACCTTTTCAACCCAACTAAACTTATCTGTCTCATAAAATCTACACGCTCAAGCAAGAAAGGCATTGAGCCCCACTCTGCACCCAAAGTCAGCTTGAGTGAGTTGAAGAAGAGCTCATGTTTTCTTAGTTCCTTGAAAGTTACTACCTCACCCACAGCTGTAAAATCTGCTTCTGATAGGAACAGGGAGGCAGGATGGGAAGCTCTGTCTAGCTCCGCCCTCCTTTTCCAACTGTGGTCATTCACTGCCCTGGGCTACGGTAAAGAGGAAACAGAATGGCCCAGTTTGGGAACCAAGTTCTGATGATTATCATAAAGTCTGTAGGGTACAGATTCCAAAAACCAAAATGAGGGTGGGGAGTTGGGGATCGTGGATGATGGCAAAGTACATCTTTCCAAAGCAAAAACACAGGAAATCAGGAGAGTTCAGACGCCCAATGAGCTTGCTCCTTCACAGATTTTGATCCAGCCATTTGATGTAACTATTCCTAGTCCGGATTCCCACAGAGAAGTTGGTAGGCCAGCTTGTGAAAATCATGCACCCATGGAAGCCATCCTCGAAGTGGTCCAGGGTCACATCCACACCAGCCCTCTCCAAGCGCTTGGCGTACATGATCCCATCGTCTCGGAGCACATCGTGCTCACAGGTGAGGATGTAAGTCTTCGGGAGGTACTGAAGCATCTCCTGGTCTGCAATGAGTGGGGAGGAAGAGGCTTCCAGCAGCTGAGGGATCTCCTGGACGATCCTGGCATCGCCCGTGGTCTGCATGACAGGCTTGTAGCTCTTTGTGATGGACTCGGGCAACAGAGATGTCCAGTTGAGACGGGCCCTGAGGGCGGTAGCCCTATCCACATCGAGTGCGGTGTGATTGTTCACGATCATCGCCTGCACGAAGTCATAGTTGCCTTTGAAGTAGTCCACCCAGTACTTGACCATGACGTGGCGGGGCAGGATTGGGGTATTCTTGTTTTGCTGGTAAGAGGGTGTGTTGAAATCCAAAGCTTGGAGGACTGGGTAGATTAAAGCTTGCAGTTTGAGCTTACTTCTTAGGCTGTCAACATACGTAAACTAGAAAAGAGGAAGCACATTTCATTTTGTATGGATTCTTCTACAGAAAGTAGTTTATAAAGTAGCTCCTTACACAACTCTGAATTAATCCAAAGAATAAATGTTTAATTCTTACCAACACCTACTGGTGTTGTTAGGGTTTGGGTCTAAAATTTCCCCAAATGGTCACATGTTCAAGGCATGGTTGCTAGGTGACCCACTTGGGGGAGGGGTATTAAAGTATGACAGTTCTGGCAACATCAGTGGGTTATGCTGCTGATGGATTTGTAATGTAATATTAGTGGAAGGTGCTGGAAACTAAGCGATGGGTAAAAGTTATAGGAATTAGGCCACAAGAAGCATGCCCGTGAAGGACATCTTGTCCCTGACCCTTTCACTCTGTTTGCTTTCTGGCTACTGTGAGGTGAGCAGCCTTATTCTACCATGCCCTCCCTCCCTGCCATGAATTCTGCCTGTCTTCAAGTCCAAGGTAACAGTCATCCAACCATGCACTGAAATCTCTGAAATCACGAGGCCAGAACAAATCCTTCCTCTTTAAAATTGGTTTCTCTCAAGTACTTTGCCATACAATGAAAAACTGACTAACACAGTAAATGTAGTTTAAAAATAAGTCACAGACCAGCAAGATGGTTCAGTCAATAAAGGTGCCTGCTGCCAAGCCTGAGGACCTGAATTCCAGCCCTGGGACCCACATGGTAGAAGCAGAGAATTGATTCCTTCCGTTGTCCTCTGATCGCCACATATGTGTTTTGGCACACAGGTGAGCACATGCACATGTGCAAATAGGTTTAAAGAGGTTTTTTTATTAGTTTTATTTTATGTGTATGAGTGTATTGTTTGCATGTGTGTAAGTGTACCCATGTTGTGCAATGCCACAGGTCAGAGGAGGGTATCAGATCTCCAGGAACTGGAGTTATAGATGGTTGTTAGCCGCCATGTGGATACTGGGAATTAAACCTGGGATCTCTACAAGAGCAATCAGTGCTCTTAACCACTGAGCCATCTCTCCAGCCCCCTTTGATAGTTTTTAATCAATCATTCCTCATTACCACTGTCCTACCAAGTTATTGGATATTTCCTAAGAAAGGTGTACTGTTTGTGACACACAGTTTTGAATGAATGCAGGGTATGTGACCTCTGAGGTCTTTAAACATTCAACAACACTCTATTTGTATCTATCTTTTTAAAAATTTTTATTTTTTATTTTATATGTATTCATGTTATGCATGCATGTACGTAGGGAATCGAACCTAGGTCCTCTGGAACAGCAGCCAGTGCTCTTAACCACTGAGTAATCTCTCCAGCCCTATACTTATATCTACCTTTTGGTACTTAAGACACCTTGATGTATGAACAACCTGTGGGCTTATTGTTTTATTTCCTACAAGATTCAAAATGGCAATGGCTTCCAAGCAATGAAAAAATCAAGTTGTATTCTTCTAGAGAAAAAGGGTAGGATGATGGGATTCCAGGGTTTAGGGATGGTCTGTGACAAGTAGTTAAGTCTTCATGTTTGGAGAGTGAGAGTTTATACAAGGCAAGCCATAAGCACGTGCCTCAGAGTAAGGCTGAAGTAGGAAGGGAATGACTCTCCACAGTATGATTATATCACCCCATTTTGTATTTACAGTGTCTAAAATTATATATCTGTCATATCACATCTAATAGGAAGCTAGGTAGATCACTATGTTTCATGTTAACTCAACAATCTAATTTCTTTTTGTTGTTTATTATTTTTATTTCATATGCATGAGTGTTTTGCATACACGTACATCAGTGCCCCTATATGGCACAATGCCCATGGAGGCCAGAAGAGAGCATCAGATCCTTTGGAACTGGAGTTAAGGACAGTTGTTAGCCACCATGTGGATGTTGGGAACCAAACCTGGGTTCTCTACAATAGCAATCAGTGCTCTTAACCACTGAGCTACCTCTACAGCCCCTCCTAGGCCCCAGAATTCAACAATCTTCAAGGTAACTTGAGCCACAGTTTTGTTTCACTCCTGGACCTTAGAGCACATCTCCAGGTAATCTGTATGTAAGTCCTTGACAAATGCAAGAGGGAATGATTCATAATAAGAAATGTACTCATACCTTCTCACTAAGTCCTTCCACGGTTGCACGGTTAGATGATGGTACCATCATGTTCTGAAGGCTCAGAGAATGAAGGGATTTACCCTTGGATTTGTATCTTTCCAAAGTGGAGCCTGGATTCTGTTTGGTTTTGAGGCCTAAGAACCAGGCCTCAAACACCTATAATGCCAGCACTTGGGAGGTTAAGGCAAAAGGATCACAAGTTCAAGGCCAACCTGAACTATATATTGAAACTTTTTGTTAGAAAACTAAGTAGGGGGCTAGAGAGATGTCTCAGGGTTAAAAGCACTGGATTCGGGCTGGAGAGATGGCTCAGTGGTTAAGAACACTGACTGCTCTGAAACTTTTTGTTAGAAAACTAAGTAGGGGGCTAGAGAGATGGCTCAGGGTTAAGAGCACTGGATTCGGGCTGGAGAGATGGCTCAGTGGTTAAGAACACTGACTGTTCTTGCAGAAGACCCAGGTTCAATTCCCAGCACCCACATGGCAGCTAAC